TACTTAATTAGCAAGAATATTTTAGGAATGACAACACTTATTTATTATAAATAACCAACTTAACTTACTTCATTAATCTCCTCAAATAAGTCAATTGGGTCTTATAATTAGGACCGGTGGAGTATTTTCTTCTAACACAGAGAAAAAATTTATTCAACGTCTCAAAACATTTTTTCGAGTGAATTCAGTACCTTAAAGTATTTTTTGACACATTCAACATGTTGAAATATTTTTTAAGTTCGTCCAATATCATGAAGCATTTTTTTATGTATCGAGCATCTCAAAGTGTTATTTTTAGGTGCGTTCAATATCTAAAAATATTTTTTGATGCATTTAACATCAAGACAAAATTTTTTTCAAAATGATGAACATACTTAAAAAAAACTTCAAAATATATCACAAAATATTAAATATACTTAAAAAAATACTTAAAAAATATTGGATGCATCATGATACACACAAAAATACGCCCTCTCTGCTACTGTTTCCGGGGGCGGTGAAGACACGCTCAGTAATCAATGAAACTGAGATGACAGCATCAAGAAGGGAAGCGCGTGCAAGCTCATTTACGTACCAGATTAATCCTCCAACATTGCCCGTCACCACAGCACTGACGAGGAGTAAAAATCAGAAGGCAATATACTCCATTCATATTGATTTCTTCCCAGTTCCCACAGCCACGAATTAGCTAAACATAATTATTTTGTTATGCTGCCTCCTTTTTCGAAATTGCAGTTGAGAGCACGGGGGTGGTCCTCAGGAACCGGCAAGCTTGATTAATTTGTTTGATACTCTTCTTATATACTCCATCCGTTCCTTATTATAAGAGACATTTGATACTTATGGCATGTTCCTATATATAAGAGACACTTACAAGTTGTCTCTACTTTTTTGTGCTGATTTACTGTTTTACCCATATTTATTATCTCCAACTCACACTCTCTCTCCCTCTCACTTCTCTTTCTTTTAATAATTTAATTGTTCTCTCTCATGCTCTCTCTCCTTATTAATGAGGGCATTTTTGGAAAAAAAATTATACTTTTTACACATTAATTGTTCTTAACTAATTTTAACTGTTTTTTTGATCAACGTACTTCGGTTATTTGTCTCTTATAATAAGGAACGGAGGGAGTAACATATATAAGACAAAAAAAAAGATATTTTTTATCTTATTTAAAATATACCGAGAGAAATTTTTAATATAGATATATAATTTTATCTTTTATTTATTATTATATTAATTTTATTTACATGAGAAATAATATATATTAAGTAAAAATAAAATTAAAAAGTATTTTAAATAAGGATTAATAAAATTTCAAATCGGGTTTGATTGTGAGTTTCGATGCGATGCTTGTTTACACGCCATTGCACGATTAAACCTTTGCTCCTCCATCATTGCGCTGCTCACGTCACCCTCTTCCTCCCCCTAGGGGTGTTCACGGGACGGATCGGGACCGGGACAGGCCCGTCCCGGTTCCGTCCCGATGAACAGTAACGGGACAGATTTTCTGTCCCGTGTCCCGGCCCGTCCCGGGGTTGTCCTGGTCCCGGTCGGGACGGGACGGATCCGGGACGGGACCGGGACGTCCCGAAATAATTTTTTTTTAATTTTTTTAAATTTTTTTAAATTTTTTTAAAAAAATCTGATTTTTTTAATTATATTTTTTTGAGCTTAAATCTTATAAAAAGCATCTTTTTTATTTGTTTGGGCACTCTTAAACAAAAGCTCAAAATATTACATATAATAGTTATTAAAAACTCTAAACAAAAGCTTTTAACATAATAAAAACTTGCTAAAAATTCTAATCATCAATAATCTCAAATCATTAACAAATATAAAAACTCTAAATAAATATATCCATAGTTCCATACAATAGTCTCAAATCTTAAAAAAATATTAAAAAAATGATATTATATAAAAAATTAAAAAAATTAAATTTTTTATTTAAAAAAAGGGACCGGGACGGGACGACTCCATCCCGTGTCCCGTCCCGTCCCTGTCCCTTTTTTGTCCCGTCCCGGTTTGTCCCGTCTCGAAAAATTTCGGGACGGATCTGTCCCGTCCCAATAAGACCGGGACCGGAACGGACCGACCGGGACGGGTCGACTTTGAACACCCCTACTCCCCCCCAGCCCAAAATTATTCCCTCTTTTCACTAGTTTTTTTAAAAAATAAAAACACATAAATTTGATCTGAGCTCCTCTGATTTGCCGTGTAAGACTACGCCACGCTTTAAAGTCAGTGCCCTCCTTCACTCTACCCCGCACTTCAGTCTCCGCCTACTACGATTTGATGTCAAACAAGGCCTCCTGTGCCTGTTCATGGGCAGTAGTATTTTACTCCTCCGATCCTAATTATAAGACCCAATTGACTTATTTGAGGAGATTAAGGAAGTAAGTTAAGTTGGTTATTTATAATAAATAAGTGTTGTCATTCCTAAAATATCCTTGCTAATTAAGTATATTGGCTAAAACTATCATTATTAGAAGGATTATCTTGGAAAAAAATGCATAAATATAAGAGACAAAATGGATTGGGTCTTATAATTAGGACCAAATAAAAAGTCAAATTGGGTCTTATAATAGTATTATTTTTGACTTTGGTCTCCCGGAACCTACCGCGTGGCACCAAAGAAACGCCTCGTCTGACTCACACGTGGCATTTCATGTACACGTGTCGTGTGATTAGGGAGGCCCCTCTCACCTCTTAATTAATTACGATTATCGTCGATGACGAATCCCAGTTCATTGTATTTAGTTGCGCCAAACGGAACGTAATAGGATAGCATGTCTTCCCCAACACCCGAGGCAATTTCGATCCCGTCAGCATCACACCCAAAAAGTAAAAGGTTAGGCCCCTATTCTAGGGTACCGTTTCAGCCTTTCAGGACGTGTTTCTTTTGTCGGGGCCTGTTGGGCCCCTGCTCAAAGCGGTGTCGTTTCATCCCAGCCTGCTTCTTATCTGTTGTCCCGGGATTTCTCCGTTGCCGACGAAGACGCTTTACCGTGGATGCACTCGTCGTCCAAAACGTTTCCCTTTTTTTCTTTTTTTTTTTGCCACCGTCGTCCGAAACGTTTCCACTTACGCCTATTCCCGAATTTGCCCCCAGCTTTAAAGGCCGAGGGAGAAGGACTCTGACAAAAAAAAAAGAAGAAGAAGGGTAAAAATTAAAAAAACGAGCTCAATGATTTACGGTGAAAGCTGTGCCATCCCGTCCTTGGTTGCCAACTCGACATAGGTTTTTGTTTAGAACAGTTATGAGGTGTTTATAAACTATTTTTTAATAATAATTTATAGAATAAATATATAAAAAAAGTTTTGTCTTGATTTTTTAAAAATATATTTATAAGAGATTTATACTATTCCGAATCACATTAAGTTGGCTTGCCGTGGATGATTCAGAAGTTGCAGGTCCTGCCATCTGCGTGCTGTGCCAGGGCAAAGCAGCAGCCACTCGCTGCGGCCCGAGCCTGGCGTCCTAATCGCCCCTTTAATTCTCTGTTTGCACACTCGCCCCACTCACTAATTAAAGACGTAGCTTGTGTTGTGTTCCAGTTTATACCTACTTTGTAGTAACGATAAAGCTGAAGGTCATTTCCCATTTTCATTTCCAAGTTCCAACGGGAGGCCATGCTTATTACCCTTACCTAATTCTAACCCCGAGCGAGGTCAGTAACTTAATCACGGATTAGAACCGGAGTTAAAAATTCCCGTGGTAAAGAGGGACAACCCTGCAACTGGCCTTTTTGTTATCAACAGCCATCACCGCGGCTTCTTCGCAGATACCCACTATCATGTATCCACCTTCCAAAAAGCGGCTATTATTTCTCTCTTCTCTTTTCGGCTGCCGCATCCTATCCTCTTGCTTCCCTGTAATTTTCCGAGATGACCTAAACCTAACATCTCCTTAAAGGGGGAAAAAAAAAAAAACTAGTATTACTCCTTAATACTGCTTCTGATTCTAATTATAAAAGCTAATTGACTAATTTGAAGAGATTAAGAAAAGAAGTTAAGTTAGTTATTTGTAATAAATAGGTGTTGTCTTTCTTAAAATATCCTTACTAATCAAGTACGTTGACAAAATTGAGTAAATATGAGAGACAAAATAAATTGGATCTTCTATTTAGGACCAATATAAAAGTCAAACGGGATCTTATACTAATGATCGATGGTAGTATAATATATTATTCTATTATTTATTATAAGATTCAATTTTTTAAATAGATCTGTTTCTTTTTATAAGATCCTTTTTAAATTTGTATGAGTATTTAATGCATTATTACCTATTTTACCTCTAATTTAAAATATTTAATACATTCTCTTTTTTTTTTTATCTCACTTGTACTCTATCACATTTACCTATTTATATATGGGGGTATATTTGAAAAAAATTACATTTGCTATATATTAATTACTTTTAACTAATTTTAATTATTTTCTTAAACTAGATAATTTAGTTAAAAGGATGTTATAATAAGGGACGGAGGAAGTAATATACTCCTCTAGTATTATTTATAAATCACTTTCGGTATGTTTTATACAGGTTAAGAAAAATTTTAAATTTCATCAACTCTCATTTAAAATTTAATAACTTTTTAACTTTATCTCTATTTAATATATATTATGCCTCATGTAAACAAAGTCAATACAATAATAAATGAAAGGTAAAATTATACATCTATATAAAAAGTTTCTCTCACTGCCTTAAAATAGAATAAAAAAAAATATCTGCTCTTTCTACCTTATAAATAGAACTAGAGGAACAAATGCTAATTGACTAATTTGAATAGATTAAACCACTAACTTCACTATATTAAAGAAAACTAGTTAAGCTGGTTATTTGTAATAAATAGATAATTTTTAAAAAAATATCCTTACTCATTAAATATATTAGGTATAATTATTATTATGAAAACTGTTTTGAACTGAGTCTTAATCTTGAATTTAACATCAAAATAAAAAGTAAAACGTGATTAAGGACCGGACAGGTAGTATTTAGTTTTGTTGCGACCCTTGAAGTTTGAGCCATGGACATAACCCCCACAATCGCCAACAACACCGCCCCCAACACTCCTACCATTTCAAAATCCCCGGAACATGACAGTGAAACACCGACGAGGATCCCTACCGCCGCCAAGCCCTTGTGCTTCTCCAACGGAGTCCTAAAGCGCCGCCGCCGCCTCGCCGCCCAGCCACTGCCTTTCACGTACAAGGAATGCTTGAAAAACCATGCAGCCAGCTTGGGAGGCCACGCCTTGGACGGTTGTGGCGAGTTCATGGCCTCTCCCAGCGCCAACCCCGCCGACCCAAGCTCCATCAGATGCGCCGCCTGTGGCTGCCACCGCAATTTCCACCGCCGTGAGCCAGAAGAGCCTATCTCCACAACCCACGTCATCGAGTACCAGTCTCACCATCGACACCATCCCCCACCGCCTCTTCCTTTTCAGGTTCCCAATCGAAGCCCCTGTTCGGCGTCGCCACCTCCGATCTCCTCTTCGTACTGCCCGTCCGCACCCCACATGCTCCTGGCTCTCCCATCAGCCGGTATACAAGCTCCTCCGGAGAGCGCGGCTGCTCCCGCAAACGCTCTTGCAACGCCGAGCCCGAATGCGTGGAAGCGGTTGAGGACCAAGTTCACCCAGGATCAAAAGGAAAAGATGTACCATTTCGCGGAGAGGGTGGGGTGGAAGATGCCGAAAAGGGACAAAGAATTGGTTCAAGAGTTCTGCAATGATGTTGGGGTCAACAGGGGAGTGTTGAAGGTTTGGATGCACAACAACAAGAATACTTTTGGCAAGAGAGATGTCGCTAATAATAATGATGGTAGGAACACCCTAGAGCAAGAACCTCACACCCTCACCGTTGAAATCCACGCCCACGACGACAACGGGAGCGCGCATGATCCGAATCATCATCTCTGCACCAACGATAATCCTGGGCCAAACCTGCGTACTAATGGGTCCTCTTCGTCCTCTTGAATCTTTGGTGGTGGATGAAAGAATCGATGAAAGGAAAGAGATAATATATTAGAGTAAGATCGTTGCTGGTTGATCAGCCGTTTCTTTTCTTCCACTTTTAATTTAGTTCTTATCAATGAGATGATCATGATCAACTTCTTCAGGATATTTAACGCGGCAGAGATTGATAGTCGGAGCGAATTTTAATTATTTACTGGATTCACCTTCTCTTTATGCTTATTAATGGTATATTTAGTTGTTTTATTAGTCACTACTCCAACCCCGAGTTTTGTAAATGTCTTGTCCCCCCTCCCCCCTTCCTTCTGTCTGAGATGATTTTATTTTGCCTTCTTGGTCAAGCTTTAGTGTGTGGTTGGGTTTTACTGAAGGAGCTTTAGAGGGTGATGAACTGTGAACTAGCAGTGTGATTATTTGATGTTCTCTTCTTAAGGGAAGGTGAAAGGGAATGATGCGCTTTTTCTCTTTCTCGGGTCAGGGAGAATATGATTTTTCTTCAGAAGTTATGTCCTGGAGAAATTAAAAGGGCAGAAAGTTTGGCCGCGCAGAATTCAGAATCAAATTGTGTTGGGACCCGAGGGAAAGAGAGGCATAAACAAAATCATAGTCGTGTTCTAAAATGGAGTGCTATCAAGCTGTAAACTTTTCGCAGTCTGATTGCATCAGATCATGGTTAACTTCAGATAATAGAGCTGAATGCTGCAGCGAACAACGGTGACGTGGCAGAGGGCTCTTTAATTATTCTTTGTAATCAAGCACGCATTCCTGCCGCACTAATTGTTCCACGGTTTACAATGAGAAAGTGATGGAGACTCGTGGGATCGTACGTAGCTCGGGGAATCCTAATCCCATTATTTTAAGGTTGAAACAAGATTATCACATAACCTAGTGTTGACGACATGAGCGGGGCATGTCCATTTAAGGGAAGTAGATCCGCTGTTAACGAAAATATTATAATTAATCCTGAATTAGGATAATGACCGGAGAGGGCGGCATAGCATTACGAAGAAGGATCTGGGTTATAGCTTGGAGGCCAATGGGCACAACCTAAGGTATGGGTGGTTTTTGTTTTTAGCGGGTTCACGTTCCTTGTTTAAATTTAGTACGTAGTTTTGGGGTCCGCACCACGGGCTTGTTATGGTTTTGGTCATTGCTGATGAGGTCAGCAATCTTGTATTGGTGCCCCTGAACAGCTAGGCATGGGGCTAGTCGTCCTTAGCCCTTGATTAGCCCTTCACAAAATGGGGACAATCTTGGAACTTCACACGGTAGCGATGAGGCCTTGTCTCAAATTCCCACTGAACACCCCACTAACTCACTGGCAGAATATGGCCATTTCATTTCATCTCTCTCCCTCCATCGTGTGCACATGCATACATGGTACGTTTAAACTTGAATCGCCTGATGAGAATTCCAACTTGGATCATCAAGTGAATTTATGAGTGCATTTGTTGCGTACCGTTGAATCTTAATTAGACGCGACAAAATCAGGAATCCTTTGAATGTTGGCGGAGTGTTGTTACTTATTATGATGGTGTGAGGACGAAATGGATAAAAATAGGGAACCTTGTTGAATTCCAAAATTCCCAGAGGCAGGCATCCTCGTGATACGAGATTGGTGTCATTCACGTAAGACGGGGTGCGGCTTTGCTTAACAAGGAGGTTAGGGGAATGAAGAGGCATGTGAATCAACGAGGTTAACATCACGTACAGCGAAGCCAACTTTATGTAGGGCGTCTGAATATTGCACCAGAATAGTGTGTCCACTGATGTGACTCCCTGTATTCCTTTGATTAGATGGACGAGCCATTCTGTTTTTCCTTTCAACTTTCTAACCTTGTCTTCCCCTTCCTCGCTCTTCTTCTTCGTGCCTTTAACACATTTTCTTTTACTCCTTTGGCCTCACATACCTTCATTTATTTTTCGTTAAACTATATAGATCGACATATTATATAACGATGGCGCACGCAATAAAATTTCAGCCCATACGGGTTACGCTCGCGCGTGTCTGTTGCGGGATGAACATGTGTGGCCATGAAATATAAATAGAACTTTAGCCATGTCAATAATTTAATAATTCAAACGGATTGGCCGATGTTGGCCAAGAGGAGGTGGGCTTTAGCTGATCCACGTGACAGAAACAACCTAACTATAACTGCTCTAAAGCAACTGCGTGTGAAAACACGTTGCATCTCTCCACGGGCTTAATGGATGCTCTTAAACTGCCCAAGTGCATCTCAGATAAAAAGGAGGAAAAAAAACGGGTTTGAAAATGTAAAAGACAGAAACCGAACGTCATGTAGCTGTGAACCTAATTTTCCTGTAATTGTAGTCCCATCTGATTTGGGATTTGCACCACTAAAATGCTCTCCATGTGCTGCTACACACTATTCCAGATAAGCGCGCAAATTCGTCGAGCTCAAAACTTCAGAGATTGCTTAACTGCAATACTTGGTGATCTCACTTATACGTATGCAGATTCTCCACTTGCAGTCTTTGCAGCTAGCTTTTGAGGTCCAGAAGGTCGGTGTCTTAGGCTACTTTTCATTGGATTCTCACAGGGCGTCCCTCATCACTTAGTAGGCTGCTTTGGGGTCTCTTCAAAGAGAGTTTCATATGCACTATCTAGGGGCTTGGATTCTCTTTGACTTCACGCGTAGGGTGGTGCCATACAGATAATTGTAGGCTTTTTTACGGAAATGCTTTGAGCAGTAAAATTGTATGTGCATATCATAGGTCGGAGTCACTTTCAAGAAAGCTCCATTGGGTAAGGAAAGTTATGCAGTCATTTCATGATCTTAATACATCTACACATGTAGGTCTCTTTATTGTGTTGAGCAGAAAAAAAGAAGGCTGCCAACCTTAAAACCCTGGGCATGAAGCATGTTCCCTCTGCATCAGGAATGAAGGTTGAAGCCCCCTCCACTAGTATTCTTTTACCCAACATTTCATCCGCTGGGCGTGAGAAAATCAAGGACTGACCAATTTAATTTACCTATCAAAGTTTTCATCGTCAGTACAAATAATTCACTGACATCATTAAAAACCTCAATGACCAACCATAAATTATTACTAACTGCCATGCAAATTGTTCTTAAATGGGCTCATCGGAGTATAGGCACCTCTAGCGTGCTCTCTGCATATGATGGGATTAAGAGATTTGTATTTTGCTACAGACTGTTTGTCTTCAATAAATTTTGTCCAAGAGAGTTTTTTTTTGGGGGGGGGGGGACAAAACACCTTAGAAAAGCAAGCAAAGCAACGCGATGGAAAAGGACCAATCACGTTGGAGGTCAACAATGGACCACATAATTATTTTACAGCATAAAGATATACTAATGGACTCGCGAATGTGGTGGTCCATTGCGATTTTAGTTTGAGGTCTATCTCTGACAATCTCCATCCTTAATATTCTTGTGCATCAGCTCGTGGGCCTTTTCACCGTTCTTTAATTTTAACATGCTGGTCCTCGATCCCCGCACAAACTTCGGATAGGGATTGGCATGATTGATCTCTTATATATCTATCCCCACACATGACATATCCTTAATTTAATTTCTGGAACTAATCGTTCCCACAGCCCGGGGCTCTCTCTTTCTATATATATATATATATATATATATAATATATGTTGTGTGTGTATCTTTTGGGGACATTTTATTCTCTATTTGTCCCTACCATCTTTTCCGCTCCAGGACATAATGGTTCTTCTCGCACTCGCTGTGCAAGGAAAGCCGCGCCATGAAGTAACAGAGCCTGATGTCTGAACTTTTTAAGCGAGTAATGAGTTATTTTCTTTTCATGCGGGTAAAAGCAAAATGAACGTAAGAAAGTCATATAGAGTATATTATCAGTTGTATTAGCGGAAAGCTATCAGAGATAAATATTTATTGACAAGTCATTGGTGTCAGACGCTGTGCGTGGATTGGCAGATACATGAATGAAGTTTTATTTTATAATATATTGATTTGATATTAATTAATTATGATGTTACGAGTCTCCATTGAGCGATTAGATTGTTTAATTAAGTTTATCAAACTTTGCGCGGGTTGACAGGTGGTGGGTGCGTCATATAGTGTTAGGATTACCCAATGAAAGGTATCTATTATATTCTGTGTATGAATATATGATGCTACGGCGAGATTGACATTACGGGCGAAACAAAGTAACAAGCAAGGGGCTAGTTTATTCCCGTACCGTCTTCGCTCAAGCTTTAATTCACACATAGTTGCAGAGTGTGATGCGTTAGGTAATTGAGTGTGTTAGTAGTGGGAGGATGGTGAGCGAATGGATCAGAAAGAAAGAAAGGGAAGGAGATGGGTAAGCCCACAAGGAAAACCATAACAGGCACCGTTGTTGGGATTCCCATAGGAGAGTGGTCGGAGAGCTCCCAATTCTCTTGTGTACTATGCCATCCCAATCCCTCCCTCCAACTCGTCCGGTCGTAAATATAAGACTCTTACACACATTAGTATAATAAGGATCTTATATTTAGAACTGGAGGAATACTACTCACAATTCTTAATATAAGAAGCAGTTTGATTTTTAATTTGATCTTAAATATAAGATCCCAATCCAATTTATTTTTCATATTTATTCATTTTTCTAATACAGTTCTTGTAATATTTACATATGTTAAAGATTTTTAGCTAACACATATTATTAGTAAGGGTATGTTAAGAATGACAATACTTATTTGTTTTCTGTCATTTTCTTTGTTATTGACCCAAAACCCTAAAAATAAAAAAGTTGGGCCTATTACAAAAAGTCCGTCCACACTTATGAACGAAGCCCATTAAGATGGTTTGGGGGCCAGAGCCACAACTGCTGGAACCCTTGTTCGGGTTTTTCCCATGTAAATTTCACACCTTTCTGGTTTGGTTTGGTTCTCTTGGCATAACGAAGAACCACCCATCAATCCTGAGCAACTCCAATGTTGGGTAGGAATGTCTGCTCTGCATCGGCCCGCTCCATGGTCGAAACAGCAAGCGAGTAGAGTATCTCATCGGCCATTTTGTCGCTGTTCGCACTTGCCCGACTTCTATACTCAGCTGCTTTTGTGACTGGATTATGTAGAAAGTCACCGATAACTATTTCAGGAACGCGTGGCATTTTATTATCTTGGTTTCCAACGAGAAGACCCGCAACTCTTATGTAGTGCCCAAGTTGAATATAATTTTCTTGAACAATCCATGAAGGATGAAAACCATAGCCATGAACTAACTAGCAAACCATCGGAGGGGGTGTTTCTCAAATCTCTGTATTAAGCATTGATAACTTCGTTGCGGTGTTTTCCTTTTTCTGTCTTTTAAATTTCCCTGCCACCGGCTACTTTACGGCGTTGATGAAAAGGGTTAGTGACTCGACCCATGAGGGCATGAGGGTGGGGTCCATATCCATGCAATGATCCCCGCCGCATATCGCCTAACGGAGCTGCCCCGTTACACGTGCAAGCATATCCAATGCCCATTACACCAATTTTAATTTGGGAGAAATTAAAATATATTATTTGGATTTTTTTTTTTTAAAAAAAGGGCGACAAAGTCAACGACGCTGGCGGGTCTCAAAGTTGTGGCCATTTGCTAAATGGGCCAAATGCAAAGAGCGGTGGTCATATCAGAGGATGGGTGAGGCCCATGAAGGGATTATCAATCATATCCCAAACATCATTTCCCATCTGTGTTCCTTCTTGGGGACCACCACTCACCCCCCACCGATTATGACGTTTCACGACGTTTCACCACCCTCATACTGTGGTATCCACACAAAAAAAAAAAATTCATATATTTGAAAATTGCAAGTTTTTAAGTACAAACTAATCCCACATAAATTTGGTGAAAATTGTTACGGAAAGATGCGTGACATTTAATACCAAAAGGTTGGTGGGAAATAAAAATTTTTTTGAGCGCTCGAAAATGCCCATCCCTGCCGTATTGATACAGCCACCTTTATTTTTTAACTATTCATCTGGTGAACTTATTAAAAATCCAAGTGAGGTACTTTTGTTTTAAAAATCTTAAAAAAATTGTCAAGGCATTTTGATTTCCATTTCTCACTAAGAATCTGGGTCCTTTTTTGATGAAATTTTCGGAATTTGATGTCTTTAAGCGTAGTTAAAGGTCTTGAGAAGTCTTTATATGCCATTGATCCCTAGCATAGCTACCTTATTTTTTTCACTCGATTTCATATTTTAAAAAATTATTCTTCATTCTTATATTGAAAAAATGTACGCTTCTTTCTATTTCGTACCCAAGTGTAAGGGACCATCTGATTTTTAGATGTTGTATTAATAATCAACAGAGAGAGAGAGAGACAGAGAGTTTTGGCAACCATGCTGCTCACATAACTGTGAATATATTATGGCTGCGAATGTTTATATTTTGCGTGATGATGAAGATATAGTTGCCCTGACCTTTGAAACCTAGAAAGGAAACTAACTACTCCGGTCCTTAATATAGGACCCAATTGTTGAGTTGGTTTTGATTCTAAATATAAGACCCATTTATCATATTTATCAATTTTCTCTAAATTACCCCTATGGATACTCCCTCAACCATAATCAAGTAGAAGAGGAAGAGAGGGTATTAAAAAAGATGATGATGGTATTTTAGGAAAAATGTATCACATTTCTTATAATTAACTAACTTATCTAACTTCCTTAATCTAATCAAATTAGTTAAATGGGTCTTATATTAATGACCGGAGGAGTATTAAATTCATGAAATCCAGATATCTTCATCTCCCCCATGATCCCTATGAAACCCCATGAACACTCACGCCCATATATAGTTGTTGTCCATATAAATTGGAAGCTCCACTAACACTTGGATCAGCATAGGAAACACTGAAATTGAGTTACATCATGTAATGGAATCATGCATCAGACCGCAAAAACAGATAAAATCTTATGAATAAGATTGATTTGATTATTTGATGTATTTTCGAGCGCATTGAGCGATGGGAAAAAGCAATCTAAAATACATAACTCGTCATTAAAAGTGAGCCTAGTAATTCTGAATGGCCGCTAGTTTGACTTCTGATTTATTGTGGATGGTCTCCTTCCTTATATACTCACGAACAAAATCTTATATTGGAGCTTAGATGGTCTTGCTTTGTATTTTGCTTGCAAATATTTGATTAACACATTCTTTTCCACTAAAAAAACCCGTTCGACTTTCGTTTGTATATATGTACATTTAAGATTATTTTCAGTTTGGCTAGTGATGTTAATTCTTCTCGAATAAAATTTGCAAATTCAATTCGCTCTATCATGATTATGGAGAAATACGGGACTGTGACATTGGGGGATTCTGAAGAGGAAAATGACGATTCTACTCACACATATTTCACTCGTACGTAAGACATGACCCATATATATATATATGATGAGGTTTAGCATGTGGGGGGTGAAGACAAACTTGCGTGCAGGGACTTGCTGCTAGAAATGAGTCGTATATCAAATATTGATGAAGACAGATGACAATGCGTACGTGAAAAATCTGCCAGATATAACGAGGACATCTAAAAGAATTAATGTCTTCAACAGTCACCCGTTTTGTTCATTTCACCTGACTCAAAGTAATTACTAGATACATCTTGGCTAGCAGGTGAAGTTTTCGCAAGAGCTGAGCACCACAAAGCTCAAAAGAAAAATAACAACGGCTACTACTTCAAACGACTATAGCTTTTCTGGCTAAAGCGAAAAAGAGGGGGGGAAAAAAACGCTATAAATTTTAATGGGAGGGAGTTTGGATATAGTCTCATAGCATGTCCACAAAGCATTCTTTCAGAATATACCCCAAGAAGAGGTTCACAACGCTTTGTTGCTATATAGTTAGGACTAACTTATTTGAGGCGATTGAAAATTCTTCATTTCATGAATTATCATGTAGTATTCTTTAAAATTTAATTACCTTGTGCTGGGTATTTGATTTGTGTACGTTCAGTATGATAGAAGATCTTATCATAAATTTTGAAAGTTTTAATCTCAACTTATCTACTTTTTGAGCGTTTTGTTGCGCCAATGATTTACTTTAATGAAATATTTATAATTAGGAACTCCGGTTCATTACTTTTGTGATAATTTTTTTTCCAGATCAAATATGGCAAAAGCCTACCCTATACCATTAAAAGGACTCTATCTTAGAACAAAGTAGAGATTTAGAAACGTCTTTCTAGGGATTAGAAAACGGAGTAATAAGAGACACAGCTTTAGGCATATATTTCATAAGTGTGTGGAGCTCAAGGTATATGCATCTTCCGATCTGCATTTTCGGAATTGACATTTACCTGATTTCCTATGTATACCAGAAAGTCCGTTCCTATATATATGCTCCAAAGCCTAACATCTCCATTTTTGCTTACACATCTCACATGGAAAATATATACCCATACGACCATGGTCCTCCCTGTCCAGCTATTTGCCCCAACAGGAGTCTGTCAAATAGTATTTGCTTTTCAAGCTTTTATCTCAATCTCATCCTTATTTTTCCATCAATATGCAGCCTTAATTACAGTGCTTTAAACGTATTTGGAGTTTTGACCAGTTTATGTATGACAATTGAACTCCTTATTTTTATAGAATTTTGGACTATGGCTTGGCTTAGCATAATCATTTTGTTACAAAATTTGATTAATTTAGGTAATCGATTGCATTGACTAACGGCTAGATATAATTAGCACTCACCACTGAAGCATATTATGCGATGTGAATTTCGTACATTCTTTTTTCGGTTTGAGGTAGCTAATAAAGTTTTAATAAGTAGCTAATAAAATGTTCTTTATTTCAACAACCAACATGATTAGACATGTGGACCGTTCATGTGTTCAAAGTGATCTCAAACTAACACCACCAGTTAGTGCCTTCTTGGAAGTTAATTTAGTGATCGATTGTGGTACACATAGAGCTTAACTGAACCTAGTTATAAGCGTCTTTCAGCAGAGAAAAAGGTAAGAACTTTGTGATTAACATTACCAGAATATTAAGGCCTAGTGAGGTAGGTAAATGTTGCTATAAATATGGTGGTGGCCAATAATCGAAACGGCTGAAATTGTGACTTTTACACCTTTATCTACACGACACAAGATTTCACACACTTGGCAAACTAGCTAGCATGCATGATATAGTAAAAATGATTGAATTGCGGGAGACACTGTCATGTTATATCATGAGATGAGATCAAATCCTGATGACACGGCATTTACATAAGTAGAAACATCAAAACGTTGGACAGAGGGCCGCAAAGCAAATGAAGGTTGTTATGATGTGGAAGTATTCGTGGTTTTGGTCGAGGCCTCAAAGATTCTGCTGGACAAACCGAATCAAACTCAGTACTCTATGAAAAGACACAAACTGAAAAGCTATAAAACTTCATCAATTAATTGCATCAGTCCCGTCTATATAAACCACCTCTTCTTCATTCTCGAAACCAAGAATCGCTTTCTCAACAAGGCAGTCAAACCCAGAACGGAACTTACACTCAAAGAAAGCAGAACAAGCGTATCAACACAAGATGACCTAGTTTATGAAGTAATTTTCCCCCGGCCTAGCTGATTAGAAGAGAGAATAAGGTCAGTGAGATTGCGCAAGGTTCTGCCACTCCAAACCATATGTATGCAAGACCGGAATATCATGCTCTATGTTATAATTAAAACCCCAAATCCAAACAATCAAAAGCAAACCAAAGCAGGAAAGATATGCTAGACGAAATACCATAACTAATAATTGATATATAAATTGAGAGAGTGCTCAAGTCCCGTTGGAGGGAGGTGAAGAGCACTCACAAACTACTTCAGTCTCTACCTCTCTTTTGTGAAAGTTCCTGTGGCAACCACAAGCAGCACAGGTCAGAGCAGCGGTTGTACCTTCATCTCCACTGGCCATGAACTCGCGGCAACCGTCCACGGCGTATCCTCCAACGTTAGCCGCATGATTCTTTTGGCACTCTGCATATCTCACACTCCTAACAGTAAAAGACGAAGAGCTTGAGCACCGAGCAGGCTCCTCTCTCCTCACCACAACTTGACGTTTCCTCATCTGGTCACTTCCCTCTGTTCCAGCGCTGCCTGCAAATATTATGTTCAAGTTACCGATGAGCTCAAAATCAGAAACCGGCGATGAGAAAGAGAGAGAAGGGGAAAGAGAAACAAGTGATGAAGAAAGAGGGGATACAGCTTACTTTCTAATGCATATGCCCATCGAGCCCTAACCCTAGAATATGTATTTATAATTAAATGCTAATTAAATTAAGTATCATCGATTTCCATCCTTACTATTAAAATCTTTAAGCCAAAGTGGGAACAACTGATCACAAACACTTTTTACTGTGCGTACTAATTTGATCTTGTGATCGAATTTCTGTTCACTTAAAAACCCTAGATAGGACATTATTTAAAGCTAGAGCTCTGGCTAGTGATTCTAATGCACGGTAATTATGACTTAATGCTGTTGTGATGGCAATGCCGCAAGGGGATCCCCCATCAGGAACTAACATGATACCCATAGAATTATTTGTGGTTCATATTGAGCCACGTAATTCATGAATTATAATGAATAAGAAAAAGAAAAATCAAATCAAAGAGATTCCTCCTTGTTAAAGGAAAATCCTTAATAGTGATGGGTTTGATTCGGAAAGACTTTTTCCTTTCACCTAAAATAGTGATGGGTTTGCTTAGCTAAAAAATAAAGATGGGTTTAATTTGGAAGGACCAGCTAAGCAGGATTTAACCCGAAAACGTACAGTGGCCCCTAACTTGATAGTAAAAGGCAGCTTTGTGGGGTGCACTGATACGATGCCAATAAGAATTGTCCATAGCTCTTGACCTAAAAACGTGAACATGATAGGCGAGCTTTGCCCAACCTGTACGACAAAATCACCGTGATTCTGTTGTTTGTAGCTATGTAGGATTTATATTTACACAATAAAAAAGGTTTACTGTTTCATCCTCCCAGTAAATTACAATCATCATAATGTTGATCTGCTGCTACTCTAACTATTATTTACCATTAAGCTAGATTAATTCTGGTTACCTAGGATTAAAAGCCAGCCCTGAATTCTTTTTGGAAGACAAAAGGCACATAGAACGACAAGTGGAGAGCCAAAACTTGCGCTCATTTATATATGCTGTCTGTTGATGTGCGCTGTGATGTATATATATGCAAAGTTGGTATAGGCAATTATTTATTCTTCTTTACGCATAACATTCTGCCATGCCAGTTTTCCATCACCCTCTGAACATCAACCATCATAAATGCAGTGTTAAAAGTATGTCTGGCCTTAATTAGTGCATAAACAAAGATTATCAAGTGCAGAACTTCCGTATGTGTTTTTTTCCCCTTAAATTATATTGTATGATCAATTTTGATGAAATCTTTGTCAACAGTACTTTTGATTATTCTTGCAACTCTTCCGGGTTCTAATTAACTTTTTATTCAACTTTGAAGGGAAGATGTGGCCTTCAAAGCATGATCACGCATCTATCTAGCGGGGGTCTTGACAGGCTCACACCCGATGATATATAACTCTTGTGTTGGTGTGCGTAGATAGAGTATTCTACTGCAATAAAGCATATATACGTGGATTTGTATAAAGGTACAAGGCCTTATCAACTCAAATTTTGAATTTTCTTTTTCTTGTTTTGATAGCAAGCCCGGCATTAATTTTTTCTCTACAATATGTTTCACCAAAATGGGGGAAGTTTTTTCAAAGAATGCAGATGAAATGTGCATAGATGAATTCAGATACCAAAACATTAATTTAAGGAGGGTCAATGTAGTACATGTTTTACGTTTTTACCGTACGTGTATGTCACTTCGCGTACATACGTATACTTGCCTTAGAATGTATCATAATTTGATTTTGATTTTGAGAATGGGAGCGATATATGCTAACTGATCCATGGAGGCGAAAGCGTATACAAGAGTAAGACAAAAATTCCTAACGTTTTAACTGCCTTTGGAATTTGGTGAAGTGATGCTGGTACATGATATAATAATGGAAGATTGAAGAAAAAAGGGCCTTATTCCTTTTTTCCCTTTGTTATCCCTTTTACTTCGGCGTGTGTGAACTGTGTTCTTCGTCAGAGTGAGCCCGCGACTCCATAACTCCATCTCTTGACTTATTCATTTTCACCGGGATGCTCAAAAGGCATAGGCTTAATCCACATCCCTTCAACTTTTAGTCGTAGGTACTAGTGTGTGATTGTGCGTCTTAACTTCAATCTACTTTAATTGACAATGTTTAAGGAAAGAATTTGTGTCCGATTAAGTTTTCTCCCTCCTGTCCCGTTAAAAAAAAAATCGCCGTTATTGTTGATATGCAAGTTATACGATGAATTAATAATAGGGTCACAGTGAAAATAACAGCTTTGATTTTTAAAATTGAGGGTTACGTTTCAACTTTTGAGCTTGCTCCTTAATTAATTACTCTTTCGGTTCTTAATATAGGACCTAATTGTTGAGTTGGTTTTGGTTCTAAATATAAGACCCATTTCTTATATTTATTAATTTTCTCTAAATTATCCCTATGGATACTCCCTCCCTCAACCATAATCAAGTAGAAGAGAGAGGTGGGGTATTAAAAAAGATGATTATGGTGTTTTAGGAAAAACGTGTCACATTTTTTATAATTAATAACTAACTTATCTGACTTCCTTAATCTAATTAAAGTAGTTAAATGAGTCTTATATTAAGGACTGGAGGAGTAATTAATTACTTTCTAAAGCTCTGTCATGGACATCTATCCTATGTGATTCAATGGGGATAAAAGATGTTCTAAAATTTCCTGGGCAATGGTTTTGACAACTTTCGGTACTTGAGGCATTTTTAAGTAACCAAGTGGGTTATTGTTTCATTGTCAGTACAGTTCACGTGCATCTTGGTAATCTTCATCCTGTAAGAATTTGATGGCAATCTATCCAGACAACTTACGAATAGTTGTAACATTGACCATTTGGGTAAGTTTTCTTTTTATATATGCAAACATGCATCATGATTATCTGTCTTCATTTCTGTACATAAGAAGGGTAATAACTTAATTAGTAATTAGTAATTACTGATCTGTTTATTCTGTGCTCAAACTTTGGTATGTTGTGCCAATAATAAATGTCTTATATTGAATTGTTACTTTTTGTTCTCCCATCTAATATATGTTAAAGGAATCAAAGAGCCCTAATTAATTATGAAATATCCCTAAATAATTATGACAATGCATGGATTTTGGATGTCAATTGCAAGCATCTAGCTTGCTTAATTAGGCGAAGACAACGTCATATTTAAACCCAGTTTGTGCTTGTCTTTATTTGGTGCTTTAGCTATATAAATCCAGGCTAAATTAATTATCACCTACCAAAAGCAAATCTGTTGAAAGCAGGGTCTCTATATCCTTTTTACTGACTGGAAACACAATAATAAGAGATAGATCGAGATGATTCAAACTGCGTTAATTAAATCAATTTTAATTTGCCATCATCAGATTGCTAAGTTCTTCTCAGCATGTTTAATTGAAACTAAATAATAATTAGCTGTAATTCTGGCTAGGACCCAGGATATATAATATATTTGAGAGATGGGGAGATCTGGGAGAGAATATAAAAAGGCAGTTGATTAAGATAAGGATTTAGGGGTGATGGGGATATTTAAGAATGATGATGTTTTGGAAGAATACAGAAAGATGGAGTCTTTTGCCACTCAACTACCCAACCATATTGTGATGCCCAAACAGTAAAAGGACTCGTCATTATCATCGTCCTTCGCATTAAGCATCTTAGGCTTCTTAATTAATCACAAATCTCGTTTGATATTTAAAGGTCACAAATAATACACGACACCCGTATGTTCGTTATTCCTCGTTTGATTCTTAATCTAGGAGCTACTTAACTAATTTCAAAATATTTAATTCTAAGAAATGTGACTTAATTTTCCTAAAATATTTATGTGTAACATTAAATAATATATAATTTATAAATTAGGATTTATACTTACATCAAATTTCTTATATTCATTATATCAAATTCGATCATGTGTACTTTTTTTGAAATATTAGCATTTAATTATAAACTTATATAACAAAATTAGAATACATGATTATGTGTGATTGAAGAACTTGACATAATAAATATAATAAGAAGCTTGGGATAAGTATTTTTTTAAATGAATTAAGATTTTATACTTAGAAACAAAAATAATTGATAACAAATTAACTCATATATTTAAGATCAGAGATGTATTTATCATCATATGCGTCTCCGTCACAGTAAGCAAATAGTTATCACTTAAAATACAAGACGCGTAATTTAAAATCAATTAAATCATTGTAAATTTCGGTTGAACATAACTATAAGTCCATATTGGCCAAATATAGATGAAAGTGGCATGGAGGATGTGAAATGAGGCCCAAATTGAGCTATGAATTGACGTAAACCCTAACGATCCCCACGCTAAAAAAAAAAAAAAAGCAATGAGAGAGATGTGGAATAATAATAATGCAGATAAAACTGGAAAAAAAATGAGTTGGGAGAGGGGAAGTCCATATGGATTACTGATAATGACAGCTGACACCAAAACCTGGGCTGCTTGGACACTCTGAGCAGTTGTCAGCGTTCCTTCATGTACCAAAACCTTGCCCTCCACGCTGCAAGATTCCTTTTTTTTAACTGGGACCGCACTTTCCACGTGTCACTATTCTGGGCCATGATCATTTTCGTATGCCCAAAAAAATTTCTGACGGAATTTTTTGCACATTTTGGAGTGAATTCAAAGACAAGTGGGTTGCTTTCCATTTTTGAACTTCTCTTGGGAAATATTCCATACAAGTTGAATTTTCATTATATATAGCATTCGGGTCTGACCGTTAGAGTATTGAAGAATTGGATATATTGATTTTTAAGGTATTATTCAAAGAAAATATTTCATATTTGAATGCATGATTAAGTAAATTTCATATTAAATCATATTTTATTGTTATTAGAAAATATTCATTTCTTTTTTAATGGATGAAAAATATTAATTTCAAAATGTTAAATATCTTTACTTAGGGAAATTGACATTCGGCTTGTTCATTAATCATTATCCCTCCTTTTTAATAAAGAGTTGGGAAATTCTAATGCTAATGAATGCGTGCGCGCGCGCGTGTTTTTTTTTTTTTTGGATACCTCTGATGATAGTGTTTTGGTATTGGAAGACTAATTCTTTTTTTTTTTTTTTTAACAAATAAGCACAAAGCGACCCTTC